GTGTTAAAATGACTAAAAATTTTAATATAAAACTTGGAAAATTAGTGAATAGTACAATCTTCTTGATATTTACTCCAATTTTAATGAATGCAAGCCCTAAAACCGATTTCTGTATTGGCGGACTAATCTTCCAGCTGGAGAGCAAGCCAAAGCATGTCGAAACATTTTCGTAAGAATTTCGTTAACCGAGGGACCACTGTAAATGCCAGGTAGTGACGTGTCATAATATTACGTATTTTAACAATTATTTGATGTTATAATTGCCTGTATGTTGGCCTGGTGAGTTAATGCAAGGCATATACATATGCAGGTCAAAGCTTTTATGTCGCATTCTGGATTGAACAAAAAACATGTGACGGAAAATAACAAAAATGATCTACATTGAAAATTAAATGCATCATGCAGCTTGTGAACTTTCAAAGAATAATCATGAAATATATAGAGGTGCATACGAGAAATTTTAATAATATTTTACACATATTTCTGGCTATCAAACTGTAAAATCGAAATAAACTTGATGCAGGATCCCTCAAGCTTTTCGCATACATTTCTACAAATCAGTTATATAAGCAAGAGGTAACTGCTTCCCCCTGTAACTGCTGTTAACATGTGTAAAATTTGTAATTTTTTGCACAGCTGTAGATGTAATGGTACCTCACCTAACTATTAGTAATAGGGCTCCCTTTGAATGAGCTCTAATACAGTAATACTCCTGTACAGTACAGTCATATCTCCGTTAGCAGGAACAATTGGTGCAGAGCACTTCCGGGAATGAGAGATTTCTGGGTAACGAGACTACTCTCTCAAAGCTGGAAAATAAATCCCTCATCCCCGGAATTTTCCGGGTAACAGAAAATTTTTCTCTGAATTTCCAGAAAATGCGCCTGATTTTCATCTCTCAAACTCGCAAAATTACTTCCCCATCCCCAAAATTTTCCAGAAAATGTGCCCCTCAGAAAATCGTTCCCAAAGCCAAAATTTTCTGGGATTCCGGCTAACGGAGATATTACTGATCTACATTAGCCAGAATCCCTCTTAACCGGAACTCTCCAAAAGCCGGAATTGAAATTTTCTTGGAAAAACATTCCCAAAGACAGAATTTACTGGGAAATTCCAGCTTTGGGAATGATTTTCTGAGGGGCACATCTGGAAATTCCAAGAATAATTTCCTGGTACCTGGAAAATTCCGGGGGTGGGGGATTTTTTCCCCAAGATTGAGAGATGCAAATCAGGCACATTTTCCAGCACCAACAAAATTCTGGGAATAGGGAATTTTTTTCCTGCTTTGAGAGATTACATAATGCATCATTCTAAAAAATTCCGAGAAAATTCCAGGGATAGGGGATTTCTTTCTGGGTTCAAGAGATGATGTAATGCACAATGGATGAGTTGACGGTTCTGGGTAAACACAAGAAATACACTGCCACGTTCGTAGAGTGATGCGGTACAGTAGATCGTCGATATAACGTGAGATACGTTCCAAGAGTGGTTGCTTTAAACAGAATTCGCACTAAATCGAAGTGTTGTTTCAATGGAATAATTTAGTTTGGTACTTGAGAGAAACAAAATACTAAAAAGACAAAGAGTCTACCCAGATGCACCTCAGCCCATCTCCTAGAATAAACAAAACATTGTTTTTTGTAGTATTATGTTAAAACAAACAATAATTAATCAACACAGCTAAAATTATGGGACGTGAAATGGTCTTATTTACTAGTGATCAGCTCATGTGAAGATTGGGGTGGGAGGGAGGTGAGGTGATACGTTTGACAGTTGATGCCAAGGTCTAGTGCTTATTTATTTATCTGTCCTTAAGAGTGACTTTAAGTTTTTCTCTTATAAAATGTCACTGAACTGACATGTTCTAATTAATTTTATTACAAAAGGCTAAAATGTTCATCTTGTGCAATTTATGATGTTTACATTCAAATTATTCGCTGTCTTGCAAGAATTCTAGCAATGCAAATTATATTCACCAAACTTTAGTCTGTGATATTATATAAGATAAAAATTGTAAGCCTAAACCACCAAACCCTGGCTGGGAAGAGGGGGGGGGGGGTAAAAGTGACACGTTTGACAGTTGGCGCTGAAGGTCTAGTGAAGTATTTATTTGTTTATTTATGTCCTTTAGATTGAGTTTTTTTTTTTATAAAATGTCACAGAAGTGACCAGGGAAAATATAATTTACATTGCTGGAATTCTTATAAGATAGTGATTAATTTGAATATAATCATGCTATAATTTGCACTAGACAAAAATCTTAGTTTATTTAGTACATTATTTTGAGTACATGTACAGTACAGCTTTGCCCTTAGAACAGTGTAGCGTGCCCAGAGAAACATTAGGCGCAAATTGTAAAATATGATGCGCCAGATTGACTTGCGCAAAATAGGAAAGATTCGCTCTAAATTAAAACATTGTCCTTAATTGAGGGTGTCGCTTTAAATCAATAATCTTAAATTGAATCGCTTTAAATTGACGTTCTACTGTATATATAATTTGTGATAAAAGTTTAAAGTCCTACTAAAATAGTTGAGATAAGTTTATTTCTCTAGAAACAGGGCCGCCATTTGTAATGACATCACTCCCTTCAAACTCACTGTTGCAGTCGGAGGTAGTAGAAAGGATCTCTGGAAAGGATGGCCTCTTCAGACCCCAAATGCTACATTCAGACAAGTTTTAAGGGTGGTTTTATTTTTATCCTCTAAGTCATGGACATTTGGTAAGTGAAGAAATGTGCCATGAAGAGCAGCTTCAAACATAGGTTGGATGGATATACCGGGTATGAGTGATAAGGGTTGCATGTAAACGGGACTGCCCAGTATGTGCCAATAGGCCCGCTGCGGTTTCCTCTATTCTTATGTTCTTTTGGACATAAAAAACTCCCATGTTCACATCAGCTGAGCTGTCATGTACTCTTACCTGGTAGACTTTTTATTTCAGTGCATTTACAGAGTATATCAGTACTAGATGGAGATACGAGTAAATTTAGAAGTAATGACATTGTCTGGACTTTGTATTGAGAATGCCTGATGCTAGGTTAACATGACAACATAGTGCTGTAATTGTTTTGATGATTCTTTAATGACCCACTGGGGTATATCATCATTTATATTAATTAATGGGTAAAATTTTACTTTAGCTACCATGAGTATTTGGATGTTTAGAGTAGAGATAGGCTATATTGAGAAAATTTTAAGTTTTGGTCATCCCTGTACTTAGATATGCAGACTATGTTTTTTTTCTGGTGGTTTCCGACGTGTTATGAACGATTTAGACCTTCATTTCTATCGGAAATCACTAGTTTTGAGTTACTACCCCCCTTACCTTATTACTCATCATACCCTGTCTTAGCCTATGATCTGCATTTTCTTGTGCGATAGAAAAATGTTTTGCGACAGAAATCCTGAAGAGATAATGTGTCTTATTGTTTAAGGTATTTAATCCCTTAATTAGAATCTGAAGGTTCCCCAGATGATCAAAACCAAAATAATACCAATATTGTTTGGAAGGTTTAAACTATGAAATTTGTTGTACGGGCAGCTAATATCCATTGAATTAGTTTATGTGCTTAGTAATATTTATATATTCAAATTAGTATCATTACCATAGTAAATTTAAGCATTTTTTTTACCCATTCACCTGCCATCTTACAAAAAAATTCAGAATGTCAACTCGTCCATTTCTGGAACTTCCGAGAAAAATTTCCATGTACACGGAGCATTCCGGGGACGAGGGATTTTTTCTGGCTATGAGAGAGTCGTCTCGTTACCTGGAAATCTCTCATTCCCGAAAGTGTTCTGCACCTACTGTTCCAGCTAAGGGAGATATCACTTATGGTTAGGTTAGGTCTGGGATAAAATGAATGGATACAAATGGTCCTTATTATATGTCAGAGTTGTGTTCTAGAGAAAAGCGACTTATAGTGTAACGTTTTATAATGAGTTATTTTTCCCATAAGAATTAATGTAATTTGGAGTATATGCCTTCCAACATGTACAGTAATATCCCCCTTGAAAGCAGTGCTTAAGATGGTGTCATATATCTAGTCAGTTGTATCAATGCATCATTCTGAAGTTCATCTGTAATTTCCACAGCAGCTGTACCCTCTTTATATCTCATTAGGTGTTAAGTTTTGGTCAGAGACTTTAACATTTTCTGCCTCTTTCTCTATTGTTTGTTAATGATTTTAGTTATTTCCCTTTTACTTTCTTGTTGCAACTTCTCTTTCCTTAGTGTATCCTAATAAGCCAGATATTTTATTTTGTTCTGCTGCTCCTAACTTCTGAGGTTAGCTGTGTCATCAAGTCTCAGTCTCCTTCACAGCATGAGTACTGTACCAGTGACACCATTTTCCTCAGGTGCTGATATTTCTTTGGTAACTATCCTGGCACTTAAAGACACATTGTATACTGACTCGGCATGTCTATGTAAGATAAGTTAAATCTTTATTAAATCTTGCAGGGATGAATATAAAAAAGGATTAGCAATTGAATTATGTGAGAACACTAAATTTCAATTGCAGTCCAGTACATTTAATTCCACAATCAATGTTCAACTCAGACACCTCTCTATTCATCTAAATTACATTCCACATATGAAGCATGCAAAGCATATTTAGTTTATGTTGGACTTCTCTGTCAAGGTTATCAACAGATGCAACTGCTTATATTCTATGAAAGGAGCAAAGAAGCTCTAAGTATTAAGTCACATTTGATCAGGTATCACAAACAAGTAAAGGTATTACTTTGCGGTACCTTCATGATTAAAATTATTATTATTATTTTGGAATAATAATGATTAATTTGTCAGCTGGGTGCATGAAGCCAATGTTCAGGAACAAATAGAAACTTGATGCCCAGAAAGTTTCATGACAAAACCATCATTCTCTCAAAAGTAACATGTGGGGTGCATCAAGACAATCACTAATCTCCTTCAAGTAAAAGTGTGATAGAACAAGATTGAACCACAAATAAGAAGTAGGATGTGAAAAAACTCACTGATAGATGAGGCTGGTGGTTGTGCATGTTCATGGGGTCAGTGAGCTGACTGTACAAGTCTTGCTGGTTGTCACAGTTGTAAGCGTCTAGGCCCAAGAACCCATCGTAGGCATCACTGCCACTAGTATTCTGGTAAATCAAATATTTGTAAATAAAAGAGTTAGGCTTTATCAATAAAATAGTCTTGAGAAAGAGACAGATAAAGAAAATGTGAAGGACTAATTTATGAAATTAATTTTATGATGAGGGGAAGGTGACCTGTGAAATACATACCATTAAACGTTACAATATTTTCTTTGACATCGTCTAAATGTATGGGTTAATATCTTGATGTTCCTAACTCACTGAGCCAAACCACTGTGGACTTCTTGTCCCTATAAAAGACGATTGGTCTCCCTTGAAAATTACACACTAAACACTTTAAATAATTGAATGGAACCAGACTTCTTCAGGTTGATGAACCAAATAATGGCAACCTTCCTGTGAATTTTCTTCTAAGAGGTGGAAATCCCAGCCATGAGCTAATACATCCACCCACACTGAAAGACTTGGGGAAAGTTTTTTCTTCAAAACCTTCTTATCAAATATCATCCTATGAATCTACCAAAGAAGAGCCTTCTTTTGTAAAGGATTTTAACATGTCTCAATAGTGTGTTTTCATAGTATTATTCAAAGTATCACCCTTTGATGAATAAAAAGTACCCCTAAATGGACTACAGAAGGGATAAATATCAACTTGCCATTAATCTTTTCAGCCTGTATAAGGAAGACTGAACTTATTCAAATTAAATTCTTTACTTAAGAACTGTAAGAAATTACAATACTGTACTGTACTGGACTCTAAAATGAGCTGGATAGTCCTGATGTGGGATCAATAAGAGACCCTGCCAATAGACATTTGGTTCAGGAACTAAACTTGACTTTTCCCAATTTATCTTTATAGATTTCTCATGTTACATTAAATCTACAAGGAAGAGGTCCAATGCAGCAGGAAATTCATTCAATCTTGAAAACTGGAAACTTCTCAAACCTCCTGTTTATTGGCATATGCTAACAAACATCTTTGAAGTTTAAGATGATGCCCAATAACCACTTCACACTGCCCATCTGACTTGTTCCCAGGATTTCAACTGAAATTCTTAGTCTGGGATGAAAGCACTGGGCCATATAAGGTTAGTCTTCAACTGCCAGTAGTTTTCTTTATGAAATAACCTCAAAATGTACTTGCACGGTTATGCTCCAACATGGAGCTCACAAAGTTCATTCAAACTACTTCTATATCTTGTTCATTTGGAGCATAATAGTGAGGTACTTTAATGTGCCAAAAGTCTCGAGTAAGTGTTGCATTAAAGATGAGTGATCTGCTTGAATTTTGTACTTTGGAAGAACAATGATGTTATTTGTTTTTTAAAATCGGAAAGGATAAAACAAGCAATATTCATCGCAGAATATCACCTCAATGTGGAAGCAAATGCATGTCAAGCAAACATTTACAAGTGGGTTGAACAATTCAAAGAGTGGTCAAACAAGAGTTGTGGATGAAGATTGTGCCAGACAACCTGTTGAAGTTTCAACTCCCACATTGCACCAGAACATTGAGCTGAAAATTTGGGGAAACCGATGTGCTACAATTGAACAAACTGCAACTGATTTGAATGCCAGTGTTGGTACAGCACACATTGTTGTTCATGATGTTCTGAAGTTTAAGAAAATGTGTGCACTTTGGGTCCCCAAAATGTTGAACAAAGAACACAAAACCACTAGACTGTGAATTTCAACTGAACTGAAAGAATGATTTATACATGAAGGTGAGGCACTTCTACAGCAGATTATGACTTGTGATAAAACCTGGGTGCACCACCTTGAATCAGAGTCAAAACATTAAAGCATGGTGTGGAAACATTTTTCATTTCCTCAAGAAAAAAATTTCAAAATGTTCCCTTCAGTGAATAAAGTGATGCTTACTCTATTCTGGGGTATACTGTACTGCCACTATATTGAAGAGCTGCATACCATCAACAGTCCATCATATTCAGAAATGCTAGAAAATGAGATCAAGCCAGTCATAATTTGGAAGTGTCCCGGCTTACAAAGAAAAGGTATGATTCTTCTGCAAGACAATGACTGACCCCACAGTGCAGAGTATATGCAGGAAATGATAAGAAAACTGGGCTGGGAGATTTTGCTGCACCCCGCATACAACCCAGATCCACACCATCAGACTACCACATGTTTGGTCCAATCAAAACAGCTTTACGTGGAAAGCACTTTTTGAATAATGAAAAGGTGAAGAAAGAAATCTGAAATTGGTTACGGAGTCAGCTGAAAGAATTTTTCGTCAAAGGGATAAGCGTTTCTCACTTTCCGCGGTACCCTGTGGGTTGAATTAACCGCGTAAAGTGAGGGTTGACTGTATATATACGGTATATATATATATATATATATATATAATATTTGATCTAGTAGTAGTCTAATGTGCTTATCCTTTCAATATTGGTCACATATCTATAGCTCTTATGCGAGGAAGTACTGTTTTTAAGTCTGTAGAAGTACACCTGTTATCAAATTCTTTCTACAATATTGATATGTCATGAAATGTAAGCTGATCTGATGGAGAGATTAATTATAGTATGAGGATATATTCGGTTTTGTATATGTATTATTAATGCAAAATAAAGTTGATTGCTTGATTGATATAGATTTATAGTAACATATAGAGCTTACTATAACTTCATGTGATAAGTGTGGTGTGGTGGAGTGGATGAAGAGGAATACACTAAGGTGGTATGGACATGTGCCGAGGATGCATGAAGACAGGCTGACAAAAAGAGTTTATGATAGCAAGAGAGAGGGGTAAACCAATTACCACCTAGGAGAAAAAAATTAGAGAGTTTGTTGAAGAGAGAGCAGGAAGGGGAGGAAGAGTGTTTGAGAGAGCAAGTGAGGTGTGCAAGGATAAAATGGCCTGGAGACATTTCTGCCATGGCCACCCCCTGTTGGGGAGTTCCCAGGAGGGAACAAGTCGTCGGCGATATTGATTGATTGATCAAAACAGAGGTTGCCGGAGAGGCGCTCCGGTGAGCTCAGGCAGCACTGCACCCCTGGTGATGACAGAGGTGGGGGAGGTGATGCGCTGGTTTCAATGGCTGCTGCTCTGCCTCAAATTTGTCATTTCAATTGTTTGTTTTCTTTTTCCAACATTAATTATATGTAGCTCTACAACATTATGATACAATAAAAATGTTTTAACAATGTAAACTCGCATCAAGAAAACTGAGAGGTGAGAACATTTCTTCAGTGTTACCCATCCCCACACAGAGACATACAAACACATGCTCAGGCTTCACAAGTTGAGTAACCACCACCACACCCATTGCAATTTTTTTCCCATATATTTTTTTTTATTTAAAGTGTCCAAATAAATGTGCAAAGTAAGTTTTGTAAGGAAAGAACAACGTGTAAGGAGTATCTACAGTATAAACAAAGATGTTATATCTTTCAGTTTTCATTTGCCTTACGCAGACTACATACTTGAAACTTATTTGTAAATTGTATTTAGCGTATGTTAGTTATGCATAACATTAATTGTGAACCTCAAGATGCTGGGTGTTAGTTAGGAAACTCAAGACTTTGGACTGTCTTTATTAATTTTTATCATTCACTTTTTTGTTAACCCCAGTGGACACATCCTGCAACAGTTGTAGTACAGTACGGAGGGCCACACTGTTCTGGACATATCCCACAGCTGTTGTAATATATTTCTTGTGGGTGCAATTTAAATTTCTCTTACTTTATATTTGCTGAGCATCTTCGTGGAGGCTTCTGGCAACTGCCCTGATGAGGTGTAGGCCTCTCACCAATTAGTAATGGATGGACCAAGGCTGATTATTACAGACTGCATTAGATCTGCATGTGTGTGGAGCTACACACAGGAGGTTATTGATGTCATTTATTTAATTTCAGAGAAAAGAATAACCCTTCCATCCACAGTGACACTGATATAAGTGAAGATAGTAATTTTGCTCAAGATTTAACTAGTGAATCTTTTTTTCCATGGGGGAATAACCCACCCTGGCACAGGTCATTAATCCACAATGGGGGAAAAAATAGAGCAGTAAAAGACTATGTTAATCTACATCACAAAAATGCCGGAAAACCAGCTTTTTGAAGTGAGACAGATTGTTAGAGGATGGAAACACAGAAGGAAGAGCATATCAGAGTTTGGCTGTGTGAGGAAAGAAGGATGGACTCTAACAGGTTATTTTAGTGTGGCTGACATCCACAGAGAAATGGTGAGCATTGCGGGCAAGATGAATGTTACAAGCCTACTGCCTTACCGGTCATACACAGGATGCCAAAGCCACTGAACATTGCCCATTAAAGTACCTGTAAGGGTGAGAGAGTAAAGCAACATTGCAGCAAAGAGAAAGGGAAGAGAGATTATTGACTAAAGGAGGAGAGTTAATAAAACAAAATACCTTTGATTCCACCCTATCTAACAGTTGGACAGAAGAACCATGAGAGCAGTACTCCAAGTTAAGACAAATGAATCCCTGGAAAATTTAAGTGATGAGATTAGGGAATATGGGGAGGGGAGGGGAGCTTCCACAATCTCATGTGGGATTGGAGTTAATCTTTGTTTATTGTCCCACACCCTGAATTTTGATGTAAAACGGGAGTTTATTCTAAGACTCGAATATCTTTTAATTTATTTATTTTTTGTTTTTTTATATTCCCCTGTCCAATGGGTAATGACCATGCGCTGCCATCATCATTTACAAACGGGGTCACTTTAAGCAGGTTATTACTACAGTAATATCTCCGTTAGCCGGAATCCCTCAACCCCAGAACTCTCTGATAGCCGGAATTAAAAATTTTTCGGAAAATCGTTTCCAAAGCCTGAACTTTCTGGAAAATTCCGGCTTTTGGAACGATTTCCAGAGGGGCACATTTTCCGGAACTTCCGAGAAAATTTTTCCGTTACCCGAAAAATTCTGGGGATGAGGGATTTTTTTCCGGGTTCAAGAGATTATGTAATGGTCAATTTCTGGAACTTCCGAAAAAAAAAAATCTGTTACCCGGAAAATTCCGGGGATGAGGGATTTTTTTTCCCGGCTTGAGAGAGTCATCTAGTTATCTGGAAATTTCTCATTCACGGAAGTGCTCTGCACCAATTGTTCCAGCTAATGGAGATATCACTGTATTATCATGAAGCCTTTGCACCTTATTATTACCGTTTGTAGAGTGACAATCCTAGGTGAATAAGAAGCCCCTGCCCCTGAAGCCCCATCTACTGTAGTATACTGTATGTAAGTCATGAAGCCAGGTCCCATGAAAGTGACAAATTTAGAAGATGAGGAGAATTTTTTTGATAAAATCAACAGATTAATTTTGCAAGTCCAGGAAAATGACAGGAAGAAACGTAGTACAGTAGACCCATGCCTTTTGCAAGGGATAGGTTCCAAGAAATGGCACAAATTGGCAAAACCGCAAATCGCAACTTATACTACCTTAGTTCACTACTGTATACTAATACCAAACAACTGACCAGCCGAGGCAGCACTCATCCCCTCTTTTAACTTATCTAATAATAAAACTTTCTTTGTCAAGGTCATCATTGACTTCTGCCTTTTACATTTAACTCCACCAGCATCCAGCATAACTAGCACTGACACTCGGCAGACTTTTAGGGTCCATTTTCACACAGAAACACTAAAATTTTGAGAGTACAACACAAGAAAAGGCTTGCCAGCTAGTCACCATAGCCATCATCTGTTTACCGCGAATCGCAAACTCGTAAATGGCATGGGTCTACTGTACTTTACATCTTTGTCCCTTATATACTGTAAGTCATTGTAACCCAGATATGTAAGTGATTACAATTCTAACCAAAAAATGGTTTGTGGTAATTCACTTCACCCTAAGAAAGACCTGCAAGTGAATTAAACTGAAAAATTATTCCCCAGGAAAATGGACAGGGTGGCATTATAAGATCTACCCTCAGTGAGTTTCCAGGAATTAATGAAATTTGCATCTTCTGGAATGGTCTTCCATCCAATTGGTCTGGATTATCAAAGGTTTATTGTATTATGGTTTTCCTAGAATGCTACCTGCTATGTGCACCGTAACTCACCTCCATCATCCTGGAGGGCCCTGGCTTATGGTTATCACCGGGATCTGGGTGAGGAGGATTAACATGCCCTGAACTGTCCAGCGGCAAGTTCCTCTGGTTTGTATCTGGAGCTTCATATTTTGAGAAATAACCTTGTGTCATTTGATCCTCTAGACCAACATCACTTTCACTAATTTGTCTGGAACCATCAGGCAAGGTGTGGTAGTTTATTTCACTGTTGTATGACAGGTCTTGTTCATCTACTGAATTGTCCAGCTCTTCCTCCTTCACTTGCATGTCATCAAATATGTCCTGTAAATAAAATTATAATATTTGAAAGGTTGATCGACAGAAAAATACCAAATATGAAAGTGACTCCCAAGCCAACCAAGTGTTTAGAACTGAAACTAATATAATTCCCTTTATCAAATCTTGGTTTTGGGTGTTGTGTGTATCACAGGCAACTAAAATGGTAGGCTCGGATTATGTGATGTTTAGCTACAGTGGGGTATGCTATAACGAACAGATCCTGCTACGAATATTCCTATAACGAACGGTTTTACCTATAAAATTGAGAATGCTATAACGAACGAAACTCCTACAATGAACATTATTTAAAAAAAAAAAAAAATTTTTTTTTACTAATTTATTGTTTTTTTATTACAAGTATTAATGATATTCTTTATTTCAGGGGGTTAGATGCATATTTATGCACTTTTTTACAATTTTACAATTTTATATTATATTTTTCAGTGTTAAGTGGTTGTATTTGGGGGCCTGGAACGGATTAATCCTATAACGAACAAGGTTCTAGAACCAATTAGATTCGTTATAGCATATCCCACTGTATATTATCTCCATTTTTTAACGTACACATATTCCCCTTCTAGCCTGAGTGACACACCAATTTACTCATCTCTTATTTATAATGTTATGCTAGTGTTTCTAGTACAGTAAAACGTCGATATAACACGAGATACATTCCAAGAGAGGTCGCTTTAAACCGAATTTGCACTAAATCGAGTTGTTTCAATGGAATAATTTAGTTTGGTACTTGAGAGAAACAAAATACTAAAAAGACTGAGAGTCTGCCCAGATGCACCTCAGCCCATCTCCTAGAATAAACAAAACATTGTTTTTTATAGTATTATGTTAAAACAAACAATCATAAATCAATACAGCTAAAATTATGGGACGTGAAATGGTCTGTTTACTAGCGATCAGCTGATGGAAAAATGGGGGGGGGGGGGAATATGTTTGACAGTTGATGCCAAGGTCTAGTGCTTATTTATTTATCTGTCCTTAAGAGTGACTTTAAGTTTTCTCTTATAAAATGTCACTGAACTGATATGTTCTAATTAATTTTATTACAAAGTGCTAAAATTTTTATCTCGTGCAAAATATAAGACGTTTATATTCAAATTATTCGCTGTCTTGCAAGGATTCTAGCACTGCAAATTATAATCTCCTAACTTTAGTCTGTGATATTATGTAAGATAAAAACTGTAAGCCTATAACCGCCCAACCCTGGGAAGATGGGGGAGAGGGAGGCAGGGGAGGTGACATGTTTGACAGTTGGCGCTGAAGGTCTAATGAAGTATTTATTTGTTTATTTATGTCCTTTAGATTGAGTTTTTTTTTTTATAAAATGTCACAGAAGTGACCGAGGAGAATATAATTTACATTGCTGTAATTCTTATAAGATAGTGATTAATTTGAATATAATCATGCTACAATTTGCACTAGACAAAAATTTTAGTTTATTTAGTACATTGTTTTGAGTACATGTACAGTACAGCTTTGCCCTTAGGACAGTGTAGCATGCCCAGAGAAACATTAGGCACGAATTTTAAAATATGATGCACCAGGTTGATTCGTACAAAATAGGAAAGATTCGCTTTAAATTAAAACATTGTCCATAATTGTGGGTGTCGCTTTAAATCAATAATCTTAAATTGAATCGCTTTAAATCGACGTTCTACTGTATAGTATACTTATTGTACTTTATAATAATACTTTCCTTTCCTTTGATATGTCTGTTGCAATAAAAATTAACTCTTTGCTCCTACTGTTGCATAGCATACATCAGCATCTCTCTAAACACACCCACTTTATCAATAAATTTACAATAGTTTTTATGGAATACAGTACTACTGTACATACATGTTGAAAAAACAAAAAAACAAAATCAAACATGTTAATTACTGATTCCAAATTCTAAATCACACTTATTCTGGCTAACCTTAAATGGCATATCTGGAGTACACTCTAATTCAGACTTCTCTGGCATCTGAGGTGTACGATGGTCGACCAGTAGCTCTCTTGTGTCATCTCTTGAAGTGTTTATGATTTCCTTTGTTTCCTCCTCTCTCACTCTGCTTTCTATATGCTCATTGTATGGAGATAATCTTGTTTGATGATCATTCTGTACGGCTGGCTGTGAAAGTTCCTCCAGGTTCCTATTACTATTGCAAGTGTCATTAGTACCTCCTGTTGCTGAAGGAATACTGTCCTCTCTCTTTCTTCTCTTCGACTTTGGACTACTTGTATTATTTCCTCCTGAGCTGCTGCTGCTGCTGGACTGTGTCTCACAACCATCAGGTGCAGCCAAACCTTTAATACACAGAGCTTCTGCAGCTTTGAGGAGACTTGCCAGATCATGTTGGGCTACACTTGCAACACCTGCATACATATAGCTCAGCAGAGCTTCCATGTCTTTGGATGCAACATCCCGCAGCACAATAACTGGGTGCTTACAGGAAGTGTGCTGGAATATTTCTTCAAAGTATTCACTGCATGTTGCCAACACCAGCTTGTGTGCTGGGTAGAATTTGCCTTCACATGTTACAGTAACATCGGTATAGTTCTCCTGCAATAAATCAGACAAATTAAAAATTCAGATTAATAACCATTTAAGAGCAAAGGGAAATTTAAACCCAAACTGCAAAGCATCAATGACACTAAAACTAATAACTTCATTTTGAATATGTGATCATGAAGGCCAGTTACAACTTATGTGAGAGGAATTACAGCCTACCTACCTTATCCCGGAAAGTGGAGATTACATTAGAGAACATGGAACTGTGGTTCTTCCACGATAAAACAAGCATTCGATCACCCATCTTGATAAAATCATCTGAAAATAAGTCAATATATTAAACATTATCATAAGCTTATGGGATACAGTATTACTGTACAATAATTCTTTGGTGAAGGATTGGCAATTAATGTTTCTATATGTTGTACAGTGCAGTATAGATTTTCCACTTTCAAAATAACACTGTTGCTTCAGTTCCTATCAACAAAAGGATGGACATTGCCAGGATCATAACTGCAGTGTTAATTTACTGACAGTTGGCAAGTATAGCCCAAAATTTCAATTCTGATATCAATTGCAGTACAGTATAGCAATGTAATTCTTGGTAATGTTTTATGAAACTGACTCATGGGAAGGAGCAAATTTAGGAAATTTTTCTACAGAAGAAAACTTCTTTCTTTCGTTTTGAACATCATTAAAACAACGGAGGAAAATACGCTTGTTTAAGCACACACCAAGAGACAAAAACTGCTTCATTGACATTATGCTTCTGTTAAATAAATATAAAAGACAGGTACAATAGCAACTTATATAATATTAATATTGTAGCTGTACAGCACTGTAATACAGGGGCCCCCCAAATTCGCAGGGGTTAGGTTCTCAAAATGGCTGCGAATCGGCAAATCCGCGAATAACATTTGCGGACCAGGTGTGGAGGTTGTACATTTTTACTTGTGTACAAAGAAATGTATATTCCCTTTATGTGTTTGCCCTAAGGACAAATATTTCTTTTACCTGTATTGTATATATATGTGTGTGTGTGTGTGTGTGTAGACCCACACACACACACACATACAAATAAATAATAGATGGAAAATACTCTCACAAATAATCAGAAATTTTTTTTTAAAAATGTGACAGTCTACCTTCAAGTCAGTGCTTTATTAATACTGTAAAGTAATAAAGCACGAACTTGAGGGTAGACTCACATTTTTAACAAACATGTTTCTGATTATTTGAGAGAGGATTTTTCCAATTATTATTTATTTGCATGTGTTTTGTGTGTGTGGGTCTACACACACACACACACACACATATATACAATACAGGTAAAGGCAATTACTGTACTGTCTCTAGAACGAATGGTTAACTATCCCAGCTGCAAAAATGCCGGCAACTTTAAAGCTACCCACAGACATGTTTGGGTATATCCAGGGTGTCATCCGCGAATAATAGAGGACCGAGAAATAAAAATCTGCGAACTTGGGGGGTCCCCTGTATAGCAAAAATATTATTAATAATAATATAAATAATACAGGCAGACTCTGATTAACAAGGATTTGATTTAAAAAAAAATTGCATTATTTTTTGTTGTTGCATGCTTTGATTTTAACCCTTAGGCCCCAGGTGACGTTCCAGAACGCGCGCCTATTCCCGCCACTGTTTAAATGCCCAGCGAGGGTTATCCGGTTCCAGTGTGACTATTTGCCTCTCACACCACACGCTCGGCCACAGGGAAGCCTCCTGAACATAATTACCTACTTTTGTTTGTTTCATTTTCATTGTTTGTCAATTTTATCATGTATCAAAGTAATATTGATAAAAGTTGTGTAGTTGTATTATGTTATAAATGTTTTTATTTGTGGAATTATTATTATTTTATGCATTACTTGCTCTACCAAACACAAAGACAGCCAGGCAGACTGGTGACAGACTGGTGATTGTTGCCGAGCACTTTTTTATGAAAAATTATGGAAATAAAATACTCTAAATGAATTATTTATAGCAAATAAGTATTAAGATCAGTAAATACATATATTATTGGCCACTTTGGATACAAAGGCGAGCTAAAAATAGCTGCTAAGTGACGAGGGACCACGAGCGTCAGCTGTCAAACCAACACTGTTTCCTTATCTCTCCCCCTCCTCCCTCCCTCTGCGCGGCCAGAGAAGTTTCTCGAGGGTCAATATACAGGTGCTCCTCTACTTACGAACGAGTTACGTTCCTGAAGCTTGTTTGTAAGTCCAACTTTACTCCTGTAGATCCCAAACATAGTAAAAAATGAAAAAATTATGTATATTTAGTACAGCTATACCCTTTAATACAGCCTTAAAACCTGGCTCACTCTTCTCCTCTTAGTTAATGTTTGTTCTATCTGGAATTTTCTTCCAAATAATCCAGTTTCATCCACATTAAACACCTGCTCTGGCAGGTAACCCCCCGTCAGTGATGATGTTTGTATCTCTGAAAGTTTGTAAGCTGAACGTTCGTAAGTAGAGGAGCACCTGTATAGTTTTTCTTACTTATTTTTTATTGTTTTATCATATTAAAAGGTTAAAAATTATTTTTGGAAAATTTGATTTTTCTCGATTTACCCCCGGGTGGAGGGTACTGCCACCAGCACCCTAACCCGGGGCTTAAGGGTTAAGAGCAAAAACCCTGGTTCCTATCCCGAAAAAAATACAAACAGTAAGCTTATCTATTTCATTATTCTCTAATGCTCGCATATAATTAAGTATATAAAATTTAGCTTTCAGTGTCATCATTCTCCGACAACCACCATATAGTATCAGTAACTTACTTCTCAAACTCATGTAGGATAAGTAGACTCATCACTCACACCACCACACACAGTCACTGAGCCCGTCCAATTTCTCCCCATTTACTCTCATGTAATACAGTACAGTACAGAACAGTACTGTATTTAAAGAATTATATGAAACAACATACTGAGGGAGGGTGAATGGAGCATCAACTGAGGGTATTGAGGATTTAGGTTGACACACTACCTCATTAGGGGTCAAAAGTTTTTTTGAGAACATATTTACACTTACATACAGTAATGGGAGTCAATATATTACTACGGCAATAGATTTTGGCTTCGTGTTTCATGTTTACTGGTTCCTCTAGAGATATTTTTCATGCTCTATGATCTGTTGACAATCATTTCCTGTTCAATTGATTTGTTTATGAGTTGTGGTCCATTTCTCCTCCACAAAGTGGAGCTGCCTGCTCGAAGACAGGCCTGCCGTCTAATTAATGAACAGTACAGTACTGTATTCTCATTTCTGCCACATAAAGGCATACATTAGGTATTGATAATGAAACAGCTCATTTAGCCAGAAAAATAGAGAGACAGAGTGGATAATAATAATAATATTAACATGGATGAGCCGGTTGAGAGCCTGAGCTCTCTTGAAGGCACCTGATATATACTGTACATTTATCTCAAGGAAGTATTAGGTAACATTTACTATCATCTGGAATAGTACAAGTAACTTGGTGGTAGTAAGAACATATCAGAATGTTACCACTGTTATCATTTCATTATTATCATTATTATTTTTTTTACATTTATATTAGAATAGTATACAGTGCTGTATACATATTTTACAGTGGAGTTGATATGTTGGTTGTATTACGGTGGAACAAGAGGACAGAAGTTGTCAGTTAGGCATGGTGCCATAGAATGACCAATTAATAACCTTAGTCCTCTTAGTGTGTCTGTTACTTCGTATTGATGTCTGTCTGGATGTACACCGATCTGACCATGTATTATTAAGGCCCAGGTACTGATAATCCTGTCCTGTCCAGAGATGTTAATACTCAGATCCACCTATGACCCACATGGCGATAATCCTGCTGTTAGTTATGTTTTATCAAAGTTCTGAATACAATTCCTACAGTATTTACATTATTTATGTAAGCCACTAATATTCTACCCTTTCATCACCAACATTGATGTACAGTACCGTACATACAAACAATAGTAAATTCCTTTGTCAATATTTTTTTCATTTGGTAAAATTGCAGTTTCGCGACCAATTGGTTTTTACCAGAAAGGTTTTCTCACGGTATTTGGTGTGATTCATTCAAATTTGACCTTCATTTCCGTCGGCAATGAGTTTTTTTGGTTATCACCTCTATCCCTCCCCTCTATAAACCTTGGGGGACCTGTGGTAATTTGGGATTTTTGGGTGGAGGAAGAGCTAAAATGGCAGCAAATAGGAAGTTAACCTAACCTACCTAACCCAACCTAACCAAAACCTAATTTAACCTAACCAAAATCTAACATAGTGAGAATGAAATCCAATTTGTTAATTTAAATTCGTATTCTTCAATGGGCCATACAGATAACTGGTTGGTCGAAGACGATGGAATCGAAGGTATAATGCTCTGTGCTTGTTCCTTTTCGGCCCACCAGGTGTCTCTAATGGTAACATTTTAACTCTCAGGAAAACAACTAGATGTTTTTCATAGTCACAATGTCGTAGAGTTAGTAGAGATAACATCAACCCTAATGGCCGCGTGATATTTTATGTGAATTTCCTATGAGAATTTACAGTCTCAGTTATTATCCATTTGCGACAGAAGTGGCCAGGGGTGTCATTTCAGATTTTGCTTGGGGGGGGGCACACCATTACATGCAAAGAGTAAGGGTCAAAATCCTGCTCCACTGTGGTGTTGCTGGGTGGTGCTGTAACAGTAGGAACACGTTCCTACACGTTTTATATTTTCAATTTGCATCTGCCCGGTGTGGACCGTGTGGCTGATAGCAATATGACTTACTTCCTTGCTCCTATTCAGTTTATAAATGATAGGCAATGGGAACAATGAAAATAGATGAATACATATCAATTTGTTTAATTATGCATAGTAAAAATACCATTAAGATGTTCTTACCAAATCCAAATTCATCTACTGTATATGAAAAAGGAATAAAATTTAAATTTTCCTTGGAGAGTAAGACAGCCCTGGGGAGGGGCAAGCCAGGTCTTGGGGGAAGCCAGATCTGAGGGGAGGGGGAGCCAGATCTGAGGGAGGGGGGAGCCAGATCTGAGGGGAGGGAGGGGTAAGCCAGATTTGGGGGAGGGGGAAAGCCAAATCTGGGGGAAGGGGGGGATGCCAGGTCTTGGGGGGAACAAGTGTTCCCCCCCAGCTTCCCCCCTGGAAGTGGCATTAAAATAAGTTGTTGCAATTGACGAGATATAACGTCTGGTGAACCAAAAATTGCTCTTAATTCAACTGGGAAAGAAACTTCAATAATACCTTTCATTTTTGTCTACCGTAAATAAAAGTGTACAACATTTAAAAATAATTTCCAAAGAAACAAGCTGCAAAAAAACCGGTTAATATTCGTTTTTAACCCAATAGGTATTTCAGATTTTGTACCATTATCACAAGGATTCTTTTTTAGTTAGGAATCGAGTTTCTTCTATGTCAATAGTATGTTAGGTTAAGTTAGGTTGCTCAGTTATTATTCGTTTTTATCCCAATACAGGGGCAGATCCAGGAGTGTTCCTAGGGGTCAGGATCCCCTCTTTCATCAGAAAATTCCAATACTTTTTCATTAATGCAGTATTGTACTCAGCCCACCCACAACTTCTTAGACACCCCCTTTTAATATTCCTGGATCCACCCCTGTAATAGGGCTAAAAACGAATTTTTACCTAAAACAGATATAAACAAACACAGTAAAATTTAAGTTTTGGTCATCCCTGTAGTATTTAGATATCCTTACCTAATCTAACCTAACCCAATGTAACCTAAACTAGCCACAGAACCCAGAACTACATCTAGTCTAACCGAACCGGGGGGCTTCGCACCTCAAGAACCCCCTTTCTGGTCCAATAGTTAAATTCTGATACTAATATAATAGGCAGTGGATATTTTGCTGTGACTGGCTAAGTTCCTACTAAAGCTATTTTACCATGAGTGTGCTCTGATTGGCCAATCGTCCATTACCGGCGAACTAGTGTCTTTTGGCATTTATTTTGCCGTGAGTCGATCGTTGTGTAGCTATAAACATACCTAACCAGAAGGAATTGTTCGATTTTGTTAATTTTTTCCACAGGTGTTCTTATCATTAAAAAGAGGTGACCTTAGAACCTAACCTAACCTAACCAACCAAAGAAACCTACCTAACCTAACTTCCTAGCCGAGGGAGGGGGGGGGGTCGTGAACCCCTCGTCATGTTAAACAGAGAGTACTTAACCAATCAGAGTGCACTCACGGTAAAATAGTGTTAGTAGGAACTTACTGGCCAAGGGAAAATATCCACAAAGAAAAATAATACCAACAAACACATTTTCACTCCCTTGTAAAAAGTGTGATCAAACTATCCAACCAGGAACGAACTAGTTACAGTGGTTTTAAATTAGACAAATTTAGATTTAGGCGCGAGATAGATAACATTGGTTTGGGAAAAGAGTAGTGGATAAGTGGAACAAGTTACCAAACATCATCATTAACTCGAATACACTGGACAGCTTCAAACAATGGTTGGGTGGATATATGAGCGATAAGGGTTGGGTGTAAATGGAACTGCCCAGTATGGACCAATGGGCCTGCTGCAGTTTCCTCCATTCTTATGTTCTAATACCAAAGGTCAGTGACCTACACATTTATCTCGAATTTGTCGTAATGAAATACTTTCGTCTGGTAGTTTCTACACAGTGACAAAAGAGTATAGTGATTAAGTTATGGCTGTCATGGGCGTGATGGTAGAGTGGGCCTTTAAAGTGGCCTCACTCACACAGTCAGCCTCCCACCTATTAAAGTTACATTACTCAGGTTATTATTGTCAACCAATACCTGATTCCTGGCTATAGTAGGTAATTTTCCTCCTTCCCACGCTCTCCAGCCAATATACTTCGTCTAACACCTTTAAATAACACACTTTCACCAAATCTTGACGGAATAATGTTACGATGGACTAGAGGAGACATACGATACCATTGTTTGGTAGTGAGGCACAGGTCACCTCCTCTCAGCCTTCGTACAGTTAACGTGCCTCACCTGCCACTTGTCTTACACCTGATTTTGTTTTACAGTACTGTATGTTGTATAAAATCAATCATAACCCGAGAAACAAATCATAAAGTATTAATGCCATAACTTGGATGTATTACATCACTACGAAATGGCTCCAGTCCCATAGATATCATATTATATCGCTTTCCATCGGAAAGTGAAAGTGGGTTCTTCAGGCTTGATGATCCATTAATGGCAGTGTTGGTACGACCTGCTGAAGATCAAGCCTGATACATATAAACTTACTCATTCTCCTCGCATATAAGGAGACGAAATGGTCGGCAAAACACGAAATAATGCCTTTCCCTTTCCTTTTTACTTTTATCCTCATCGCCACTGGGCGGTCGGTCACAGCTCTGCTATGCACTGTTGCCAAGTACTGGGCATGAACTGGCTCCTGAGTTTATATGAACCTGCTCCAGTGTTGGTCAAATCTGGTCTTGAAAGAGCTCACATTCGGTGCCGTCACAACTCTCTCTGTCAGATTGCTCCAAGAGTTCACAATTCTCACTCCGAAAAAGTTTGCCCTCTGTTTTCTGGATTTGTGGCTTCTTCAACCTTGAGCTGTGACCCCATGTGGGGTGGGCGTCCGCCAGCTTCAGGTATATACACTCGACTGAGTAGTGCCCTCTGAGATGTTTATACACTTCAGTTAGGTCACCCCTTGCTCGTCTGTAGTATAAGTTAGGTAGTTGCAGGCGTTCTGATCTCTTTGAGTACTGGGTAGCTGAGGTGCCGTAGTGTAGGCATCAGTCTGGTGGCCCTCCTTTGGACATTTTCAATCAACTGACAGTCTCTAGCATATCTCAGGACCAGACAGAGTGACAGTACTCCAGACGGGGAATCAACTCACAGGAGAATCGACCCAGAGGAATGTGAGTTCAGTTTTGCTGGATATGACTCATTTACGAACCTTTCTCAAGAAACTTGCAAGAGGGGTGTGGTTATCTATGCTAGGCAAAACCTTCGAGCCAGCCAGGCGAGGGTACAGGGAGAGGATGTTTTTGACGAGTCCAAGTGGTGTAAAATGAAATTAAAGAGAGGGGACTTACTTATCGTCGGGTGTATGTACAGATCCCCAAACTGTGGCCCATTAAATCAAAGGAACTTAAGAACCTTAATAAACAACGCGGCGATGCTCAACCCTAGCCACCTCCTTATCATGGGGGACTTTAACTATGGCGACATCGACTGGAGAAACGAGTCCACCCCAAATGACTTGAATAACCCTGCTACTCTTTTTGTAGAAACTCTGAGAGATAATTTTCTGTTCCAACATGTTAGAGACCCGACACATTACAGAGGGGAGCAAACACCCAAGCCACCTGACCTCATCATAACAAACGAGGAGGGTATGGTGGCCAAACTGGAGCACCTTGCCCCAGTTGGCACCAGTCACCATATAGTGTTGTCATTCAGATTTAACTACCTAGTTCAGGATAAGGCCAGGCCAAGGTGCAAATATTACAAGGGAAATTACAATGGGATGAGGGAAGAGATGAGTGGTATCAACTGGCCTGACTCATTAAGGTACAAGAACGCAGACACTACGCTGAATATCATTACTAGTAAAGTGACCCATTTGATCGATAAATATATACCCAAGACCAAACCTAGTGCTTCTAGGAATGCGAGGGGATCCCTACACATGAACCATGCGGCGGTCGACAAAATTAAGAAGAAAACCCAGAAATTCAAGACGTGGGTTGGGTCAAACGATGAGCAAGATAGGAGGATGTATGAAAGAGCCAGACACCAAGCAAAGATAGAGTGTAGAAGGGCTGATAAGGAGTTCCAGAGGCTGGTTGCAAGCGAGGTTAAGTCAAACCTAAAGGCGTTTTACCGCTATGCAAAGTCGAAATTGAAAACGCGAGTTGGAGTATCTGACCTGAGGCTTGTGGATGGTAGTTACGCAGATTCTGACCAGGATAAAGCTGAGGCATTGGACAGCTTCTTTTCCTCGGTGTTCACAAGAGAGGATGCAACTAACCTTCCTGCGTTTGAGGACAGACGGTTCGACACAGCACTGACCCACGTTGTGTTCACAGAAGAGGGTATTAGAAATAAACTGTCCATGCTAAAGGTCCATAAGAGTCCCGGCCCTGACATGGTGCATCCTAGAGTGCTAAGAGAGTTGTGCAACGAGCTTGCAGAGCCCCTGAAGATCCTGTTTTGTAAATGCCTTGATGAACAAATGGTCCTCAGTGAATGGAAAGAGGCTTATGTGAGTCCTATCTTCAAGAAGGGCGATCGGCACTCCACGAACAACTATAGAACGGTGAGCCTGACCAGCATAATATGTAAAGTACTTGAGAGTATTATCAGAGATGCCGCAGATTGTTCCAAGAGTTCACAACTCTCACTCCGAAAAAGTTTGCCCTCACGGTTTTCTGGACCTGCTGCTTCTTCAACCTTGAGCTGTGACCCCTTGTGGGGCGAGCGTCCGCTTTTATTATATTAGTAACAGGGGACATTTAAAGATATATCAATCTACGTTTGTTTATTTATTCAGGGAAAAGGGTAATAAATGTCGAGGAATTGGCGGCTATTTCTCAGCTGGGAGTTTTACACAACACAGACTATACTATTTCCACGCTAACCTGGCCTGTAAACCATGCCTCTCTTCTATAGCTGCAAATAGCTGATTGGTTCATACAAAATGTTCGCGCAGCTGTCCATTTATTCAAACTAAATTTGTTCACAATTGGTAAGCAGACCTGTTATTTTCTAAAATAATGTTAAATACCTGGAATAACAAAGTGCAAATGATTTCAAGGCATTAGCACTTCAGAGAGGACGTTAGAATTTTTTTTAAATATTTATAATTTTATCATTTTATTAAAAGGTCGAAGTCAAAGATGAAATTCGCATTCGAATAAAGTCTTTTCATATTTCTTTGTTTTGTGAATACATTTAGTTTGAATAAAAGGACTTCTACACGAACATTTTCTTTGAACCAATCAGTTGTTTTTATAGAAGAGGGGCGTGGCTTATGGTCCAGTTTAGCATGGAAATACTATAGTCTGTTATGGTTTATAGCGGGCCGCTATGGGCGTGGGACTACAGATGGAGTGGGCGTCCCTGTGTGGGCGTCCCTTTTATTACAACCTCAGCTTATTTCACCTTAAGACTAACAAACCTTGCACTACTTTGGGAGTTTGGGTTAGCTTAGGTCATGTTAGATTAGGTTAGGTTAAGTTAGATTAGGTTATGTTAGCTTAGATTAGATTAGGTTAGATTAGGTTAGGTTTGGTTAATTTTAAGGTTGGTAATCTCAGGTTGAAATGAGCTGGGGTGCTTAATCATCATGTTATCCGCCGAAAAAAATGTCTCAACTATGTAATTTTCGCTGACTAGAACACAGGTACAGTATATACACACCCTGAGCCGTCTAAACAGGGTCGTAGTCATATCTCGCCAACACTAAATCCATAAACTTTGCACAATCTCAACTTTTACCCAGAAAATATTCACAAAAGACATCATAACTCTGGAAGCAATTTCACGCAACAATTTTCATAATAATAAATATTTTCTCAGCTGGTGTACAGATGCTAAGGCTTATCCTAGTGCAAATTATTGAAACGCCCACCGCCATGTATACAATGTTGGGATAACGCCAAAGACTTCAGAATTAATGCTGGCTGAAATATTGGAGACCTTATCTAATGCTACGAGGTCATGCACAGGTAATTCGATTAGTTTTGAGAGATCCCTTTTGAGGTTTATTGTTGACTCGACAGTGTTTTTGGGCTGTATGTGTGTGTGTACAGGAGACGACGTGTGTACAGGAGACATGTCTGTGCGTGTACAGGAGACGTTTATTGTGTGTACAGGAGACGTTATGTGTGTGTGTACAGGAGACGTTTATGTGTGTGTACAGGAGACGTTAATATGTCTGTGCGTGTACAGGAGACGTTAATATGTCTGTGCGTGTACAGGAGACTGTGTGTGTGTACAGGAGACGTTAATATGTCTGTGCGTGTACAGGAGACGTAATAGTATATGTGTGTACAGGAGACGTTATAGTATGTGTGTGTACAGGAGACGTTAGAATATGTGTGTGTACAGGAGACGTTAATATGTCTGTGCGTGTACAGGAGACGTTAATATGTCTGTGCGTGTACAGGAGACGTAATAGTACAGGAGACGTTATGTCTGTGCGTGTACAGGAGACGTTATAATATGTGTGTGTACAGGAGACGTTATAATATGTGTGTGTACAGGAGACGTTATAATATGTGTGTGTACAGGAGACGTTAATATGTCTGTGCGTGTACAGGAGACGTTAATATGTCTGTGCGTGTACAGGAGACGTAATAGTATATGTATATATAGGAAACGTTAATATGTCTGTGTGTGTGTACAGGAGACGTTAACATGTCTGTATATGTACAGGAGATGTTATAGTATGTGTGAGTGCAGGAGACACACACACATTTACACTCTATCAACGTCTCCTTTGCTTATATAGACGTACTAAAATGACCTCACTCACTTTCCCTCCTACCCTCCCTCTTCCACTAACTCAATCTCCCTCTATCTTGCCTTCCCCAATTCATTCTCCTAAGGCAAGAGTGTAGGGGAGTCTCTTTCCTTCTTACCCGTTTCTTTGCATCTACTAACTATCATGCTTTATCATAATTTGTATCTGTTTCCTCGACTCTGTCAGGTGAGAAAAAAAAATGGTTGGGTTGTTTGTATGTAGTTGTATGCACTGCCTAGGAGTCCGAAGGCGGTTTGGTAGAAGTACATGTATAGCGTGAGGCAGTTAACTCAACAGTGATCTAGTAGAAGGTTTAGGCGTGTAGCCAATATACTTTACTCTCGTATCCCCAACCGGTTCATTCCAAGTAAATTTGGAAGGGAAGATAAACCCTTCGGTAATAAAATAGACTTCTCTTATTGGTAA